AGTTTATAAAATGCACTGGTGCCCCAAGCACTGTTAGTCATCTCACTGGGTGAGGGGTTTCAGGCACCCACATCTTACACGATGACACCCAACCTCGTGGCTCTTGCTGGAAACACAACACTGAGCAAGAAAGGTGCAAACCTTACACTGAAGTGAGTACACAGCTTTATTCACACAATGCCTGGGATATGTTTGCACTCATACATGCATGTGCACACACCTGTACACACACACACACATGTGTGTGCACACACACACAGGCACACACACACACATCCTCCTCCAGGTACAATTCACCCATTCTTTGAGTTCGCATCGAGTTCTGCCTCCTTTGTGATTGGCCATTGAAGACGCCATCAGCAGCACTTTCTCTCTTCTGACCCAATTATCCTGAGGTTCCCTTGGTTGCTGAGATTTTTGAATAACACAATCGGCACCCACTGTACATGGGCAAGGTGTTCAACCATAAAACAGGTACAACTCCTTAACCGCATTCATGATTTCTCTCCACTGCTCCATTTAACACTCAATATGGATGATGTTTTCCACTAATTACTTGATATTTGTATATCTCCTGAAGCCAGCTAGGTTCTTTAAATATAAGGAATGTAGCTCTGCAGCCCTCAACGTCCAGTGCTTAAACACATAGAAAAATCTCACAGATGCATTAACGGGACTTGGCACTGTACTTAAAACTGAGGACAAAATGACAGGAAGCCTTTTTTTCCATTGTACAAACAGGTTTCCTTGTGACATTTCTGTTCGTGCTTACAATGTGTCTGCATTGTCGTCATCCTTACAGCTCTCTCATCCTCTTCCCAACAGGCTCCCTTCTAATTTCATATTTTCCCCAAATTCTACCTATGAGAGAAAATACACAATACTTGTCTTTCTGGGTCTTGCTTATTTCGCTGAACGTGATGATCTCCAGTTCCATCCACTTCCCTGAGAACAAGATTTGGTCCTCTCTGTGGCTGAATAACAGCATGTCCGCCACACATTCTTACCCCTTCGCCCTTCGGGGACGTCCAGGCTCACTCGCAGCCGAGCGGCACCACAGGAAACGTGGGCGTGCAGCTAGTTCATGTGCTCACTTTGACTTCAGGTACCTGCCCCGGGTGGGACAGCTGAACCACACAGTAGTTCTGTTTTTAGATGTTTTAAAATAACATCCATTCTTCTTTCCCTAATGACCGTCTCGGTTTACATTCCCATAGTGCATTTGAGTTCCTCGCCAGTGTTAATTAATTTTCATGTGCTTGATGGTATTCATTCTGACCAGCATGAGATGGGGCCAAGGCACAGTCTTGGCCTCCCTGACGCAGAAGCAGGGTAAGCAAAGGCCCAGAGGACAATGCAGGATGCGGTGGGGCAGGCTGAGTGTCTATGCACTGCAGTACGAGAGAACAGTGTGGTAAGAGATGTGTCGGAAAGGAAAGCAAGGCTACACAAGGGATCCTTTGTGAGTGAAGAAAAGAACCTTCAAGGTGTCCTTAGAAGGTAGGAGCACAAAATCTGACTGGACATCAGGGAAACTGAGGCAGCACAGGATCACAGCGTGAGCAGGGATGGGCGCCTTACCACACCGTGAGCTGACACTGCCCACGGCTCTTGGGTCTGAATCTCCGGGCGAGAGTCAAGATGCTTTTGAGCTCACTTTCAATTTCTTCTTCTCCCAAAGCTATGAACCTAGAAACCAGAACTGATGGGCATATTTATTTGTTGAAAAGCCGAGCTGAAGGTAAGGTCTCCCAGGATGGGGCTGGTGGGGGCTCAGGGAACAGGCGACAGGGATCAAAGTTGCGTCAAGGTTTAGTAAGGACATCTTGGACTTTCTCATTTCCAGCCCTTTGCACAAAATCTGTATCTTAGACTCAGAAGGAAAATGGCATTCCTCAAACAATACACCTTAACTTCTTCTCACTTGGGAACAAGAGCAATAACGAATTTATATTTTATACTGTGTAATCTGGTGTTCCATTCAGCCACCTCAGTAAGAGTGGTACCGCACACCACATGGGCAAACCATCCTCAGAGGAAATCTTTCTTTGCTTTTGGATGCAAGAAGTTATTGAGATTAAAGCACTGATGTTTGCGCTCAGATAAGACGATGGGAGAAAGTCAGAATCCTGATGTGACAATTCTCCACCTGAATCTTCACGGTTCAACCCATCAGAAAAGATCCTTGGATCCATTGCTGGAACCACAGGTTAAATAATAAACATTCTGAACTGCGCTAGCCATAGTTTCTTCTGCAACTACTTAATCCACGTGTAGGGTGGAATCAGCCAGAGACAACACATAAACAATGAGGCTTGGCTGTGTGCTTTGAAAACTTGATTTATGGAAGGCTGCAGCACGACTTGGCCCATGTGCTGGAGATGGGAAATCCTTGGTGAGTAACAACTTAGGCTTCATTTCCGTTCCCGGGTTGTGGATGACCGGATGCCACTTACCTCTCCACTCCAGGACCCACACTACATCCCACCAGACACAGGCGGCAGGAAAGAAAGCTCTGGGTGTCTCCGAAGGGAAATCCAATGCTCTGACCCAAAGCTGCAGCCACCATTCCCATGGACAATGTACTGGCCAGGAGTAGTCTGAGTCTGTCCCCTTCCCGGGGCTTCCTACTAAAGAAGGCAGAGAGCTTGGAGCGTTTGGCCAATAGAGTCAGCAGCTACCAGACTTAGTTTAAATTGAAGACTGTGTTAGGGAAAGTTTTACTTCATTCAAACAAGTTTTGTGTGCACAGCAATGACAAGTTGTAGCCCATCAAGGCGAGCTTACAGACATGTCAACTGATCTAATAATCATTCTAGAAAGGTATTGTTCCAAGACTTGAGATCTCTCAAAAGAGTTATTCTCCTGTGAGAAATTCATTTGGCATATTTCACTTTATATAATACATCAAGAAAGAAAAATTGATAGAAGAGGAAACAAGTGATTGAATGAAAAAAACCTGATGGTCAAAGTGACAGATTTCTATCATGTAAAAGGTGCAGAATAGCTTAGATGTGCATATATATAATTTAATTATGATCTGTAATATGCTGCTTAATGCTCATTTTGAAAATTAGATATTTTCTCTATAATCTAAACTTCATATTCAAGATAACACCTTCTACCAACCAGGTTTTTTCTTTCCTATTGTCTGATTTGAAAAGTTATCAGCTTCACACTAAGAATTCTAAGATTAAATTATAAGAAGTTATATGTAAGTTATATATAATATTTTCAAGTAGCCTAATAAGACCACTAAAAGCCGGGTGTGGTAGTACATGCCTGTCATCCCAGTACTCCACAGGCTGAGGCAGGAGGATCACTGTGAGTTTGAGACCAGCCTGGGCTACATAGTGAGTTCCAGGTCAGTCTCAACTACATAGTGAGACCCTGTCTCAAAAAAACAACAACAACAAAAACAAGCCACTAAAGACATTTCTTGGTTATGTGACTTATTGTTAAATTAATGAGATAACTGGAAATAGATCCCATCCTTATTAGGGCCTACTCAGTGACATTAATAGAAATTTGTCCATAAACAAGTACTTACCAAAATGGACTTTCCCAATCACATGTTCCAATAATACAAATGATAAAGTTCCGGAGAAATGCTGTACACAGAAACAGAGGCAAAGACAAAGACGTGCCACAATGAGAAGAGCCCACACAGGTAATCAGGGCGAACTGCGGCCACCACTCTGCCCTCAGAGGGAAGCAGACCACGGGGTCCACATGTCAGAGCCTGAACGGTGCAGCCGATTTACCTTAGAATCACATGGCTATCACAGCACCATTTTACATTTGCAAAATATTTGGTTTTTACAACAAAGTACAGAATAGAAATTTACTTTCCTCAGAGAGATGAAAAGAAAGTAAGATGAGGGAGAATTGGGGGTGAGGCGACAAAAAGGCGTGGAGGACAGCACCTCACCTCAAAGTCACCAGCACAGGTCTGGTAAAGTGAAGGCTATTATTTATACTGCATTTGATTAATCATTGTTCCCTCTGTAAGGCGAGTATACCAAAATCAAAGCCGATCCTTTTCTTTTTTATGTGACACTGCAGATCGGACCCAGGTCTTCACAGTGAACCACAGCCCCAGCCTATTCCACTTTTATTTTTTATTTTGAGACAAGGTCTTGCTCAGTTGTCCAGGTTGGCCTCAGACTTGCAATCTTCCTGCCTCAGCCTCCAAAGCTGCTGAGCTGTGGGAAGATAGGCATGTGCCACCGAGTCTGTACTGATTCTTTCCTTACAGCTACGCCGTCCCCACAGAGGCATGAAAGCCGATGAATGTAAGTTATTGAGTGAAAGTTAATTCTACATAAATCTTCAGGTTTCCATCTTCCCTCAGGCCCATTCCAGTCTTGAGTGTCCCAAAAGGAGGCAGATGGAACGTAATGAAAATTCAACTTACAAGTAATTTACTTGACCAGCTACTTAGAATAGCCTTAGTCCTCAATGGTTGTCCAAAATATGAAACCATTATAATCAATTTTGTAAAGTTTCCTCATGTACTTCACACACACATGTGCGCGTGCACACACACACACACACACACACACACACTACTTTATAGATAGCTGAAGGTGGCAACAAAAAAATCTAAGGTTTTGTCAAGTTAGGATGTGCAAATTCTAAAAAAGGTCTCAATAGTCTACAACCTGAGTATGCTTTGAAATTCCCTTATGTGCCCCTCTTAATCTGAGTATCACTTTATTAAGATTTCACAGATTGTTAATGGACTTGGGAGCTTTCACTCTTTAAAACGTGATTTTTCTCTGTGCCATTCCGGTGTAGAAAGCTCTGAAACACACCACATACCCACAGAAGTTGTGAACTTCATGTATGAAATAGTTTTTTTAATCCTAAGGAGTGCAAAGATCTCAAGAATTCTTGTTTTGGGGTGTTCCCTTAAGCTGTATCTAGGGAAGAAAATGAAAAGTTCTAGGAGAACTATTTGTCAGCAAAAATTCTAGAACTTTCAGCTTTTCTAACAATCAAAGCATTTCTCAACTGTTATATGTGGTGCATGAATTTTCCTTGGATTTGTCTTTGTGGGGAAAAAAACGGGCCATGTGCTGAGCAGGGACCCGCACGGAAAGCCACTGTCTGTGAAGTTGCAACAACATTCGTTTTCTTTACAGATGAATCAATAAGACCCTAGCACGAACCAGGGCCCTAGGAACACCGCATTCTCCAAGGTGAACATTTCCTCTTCCCCACTTTTTTTGTGAGTCGCTCAGCACAGTCTCCAAGCCCCTTCCAGTGTAACGGAGAGAGACACCGTGGCTGAGCACGTCCCAGGTTCCACGCATTCCCACACCTGTTTCTCCATCTCTGACTGCTTCTGTATCCTGCTCTTTCTCTTGCACTGTGTGTGTGTGTGTGCATGTGTGTATTTTGTGATTTGTCTTTTTTCATTGTTTATTGGTACATTTGAGGTATACAATATGATCACACTCATCATTAGGAATTTGTACCTGTACATTTCACATCTCGGCTCTTGTCTTTCAGCCAGTTGGATTTTGTGTCTAGTAATCCAGAACCTTGATCAACAGTCTCCATGAAGCAAAGAAACGGGAGCACTGAATTCACAGCCCGGATGCCAAGTAAGAACCGGTGGGGAAATTCTTCCATTTTAAAATGTTCTCTGTCATTTATCACTAAGCTTCCACTTCCAAAACCTTCCTTGGCCAACTGCAAGAAGCTTTTGGTCTCTTTGTCGGGGCACTGAGTGGAAAATAAACCTGGTTTTCCGCCTCACTTTCAGGGTCGTCGGCCAATCACAAAGTTGTGCCCCATACCTCCTCGTGTTGGTGTCAAAGGGAAAGGAGCTGGGTGGGATTTATGAACTGAAGACCAGATTTGCCACACAAAAGACCAGCTGCTTAAAAAACCGGATCACGCTGGACAGCTCTGAGGTTTTAGCAGGTAACTTGATGCTGCTAATTTATTGAACCTGAAATGTCCAGGCATTCAGCTGCTCTCAAAAAATTATGTTTGATCAATTAATGAATTTAAAGCATTCACAAAATTAATGATCAAAAAGTACTGAAAAGGAGAAAGAAATCACTAGATGTTCTTAACCACAACTTTTTCCTGAAAGGTCCAAGAAAATGGATATAAATATGTGACAAAATAAAAAAATTAATGAGAATATCATGAAAAAGTGATTCTAAAGATCAAAAGTATGCACCGGCACTTCATTATCGGAAAGCAAAAAAGAAATCAAAGTATGTGATTACTGATTTTCACATAATTGGTTAAGAAGACATCCAGGAGTACAATATTTGTTTCATTGTCTGTGCAACTGAGTTTTCATAGACTAGTCATATCTAGCTGTCCCTAACACAAGCAGTGCCATGGGAATCCATCCCTTCTCCAGCAGTGACCCGGTTTGTTTGAATTAACTACTTCAAGTAAAGAAAGAAACACTGATAAGAATGATTAACCCACATATACTAATAACATTTGACACTATCATAATTTATATAGGCTTGCATTTATATCACATCATTTAATCTGATCACAACCCTGTAAGTTAGGTAAGTTTCCCCAATTTATAAAAATAGGCACAGTTAATCACAGAGCAATAGTCACAGGAATGATAAACAGCTTCCTGCTCTAAGTTCATACTTCCTCCATCATGGCTGCCCAGGAGTCAGTTTACAGGGAACTTATTACCCATGGCAACAAGAAGACTGCGATATTCTTCCCTTAATTTATATATGCAGCACAAGTGCATTTCTTCGGCGCCTACTACGGTATGTGTCGGGCACAGCTCCAGGAGCTGGAAATGACATTGCTAACAAGGCAAGGCCTCTGCTTTCATTCTAGAGCAGAGGACTGAACAGGGAAATAATGGATGGAGAATTATAATTCTGAGGTAGCAATTAATCCAAAAGCCAAACAGGACATTCTCAGGAGGCCCAGGTCAAATGGGCTACATTACCACAATCCCAGCCAACACCCTGATCCTGGGTGCCGTGCTCACCAAAGGAAGAGGGGACTGCCTGACCTTTTCCATTTTGGATACTGAAAGCATACACATTTGGCCAGCCTTGCTTCCCAAAGGTGGACCACAATCCATGACAAAACTTTTACCATCCACAGCAAAATGAGAACCAGTTTTCACCTCCCAAGCCAGATGAGTGCTAGAGTCTAAATGTGTGCATGGCCCCCAAAATGTACAAGACAAAGCAGGACTCCTCGGTGGGGCAGGGTTAAGAGGTGGTTAGGTCAGGAGGGCCCTGCGCCCCCTGGATGGAGTTGGCACCCTTATAAGGGGCCTGGGGCTGTAGGATGCAGCAAGAAGGCCACAACCTTGAAGCCAAGGGGAGCCCTCAGCACACCTGGTCCTGCAGGTACTGTGATCTCAGGCCCCCCAGCCTCAAACACTGAGTGCCATTTCTGCTGCTAATAAATTACCCAGACTTAGGTATGTTTCCATCCCATCCCAGGTGGGCTGAGAAAATGAGAACCCATGTGATAAATTCTACATAAAACTAAATTATCCAACACCACGAAAAGGACCTGAGTATGCAGGTGCTTGCAGAATACCAAAGGCACTGGGAACCTCAGTTGTGTTGCAATGCACTTGGGAAAGTAGAAACAGTGTTCCCTGTGGCCTAGACATGGCATGGTCAAGGGACCTTCTGCAATCACCTGACTGGAAATGAACATTTCACTGTAAAGTTTAAACTATGCGTCTCTGCTTCCATTCTCTCATTACCCCTTGCTATCTTGGGAGAGCTTCCTGGAGCTTCTGGAACATAATAGTACAAGGTCAACAGCTTAAAACCACACAGATTATCATAAAGGTCTGAGCTCAGAAGTCCAGAAGGGGTTGGTAGCTGTGTTCCTTCTGGAAGCTCCAGCCAAACACCTGTATTCGCACCTTCCCCAGCTTCCAAGGCAGCAGCCCAATTTCATCTCTCCAACCTCAACGTCTGTGCCAAGTGACCTCCCCTGTGTGTCCACCCTCAGACCTTCCACTGATGCTGAGCCTTTGTTCCCTCTTCCGAGAGCCCTTGCAATTCCGTGGAGCCTCCCAGGTAAGCCAGGGTGAACTTCCACCCAGAGGTCCCTAACTCAGATCCACAGGGTCTCTCTCGGCACCTCAGGTAACATCCACACAGGACGCAGGGCCATTATTTTGTTCACCATATTTTCTAAGACCAATGGAAGTGCTCATGGTGAAGGGCCCTTAACTCTAGTGATCTTCCTTGGTGCCTCTGGAAACACGTAACTCGTGCATTGCTCACCACTTACCACGTTCCACTGAACCAGTAAGAGGAGCATCCAATAGACCACATATGTACATGGAGAAGACAGCATGCAGCTCACTCCAGCTCTCACGGAGGCATTCAGGAAAAGTTCCTGACCCCCGAGGACCCATTTTATGCTAGTGCAAAGTGACTACCATCCATCGTCTAATCATCCAAACAACAGAAAGGCTGACTGCATTATTCCCACTCGAACATAAGGAAACGGAGGCCAGCACTGACGGCTAATTTGCTCAAGGTCATACAATTAAATGACAGCAAGATTTGGGGGCCCGGCCTTCTTTTTTCTGCTCCCTGCTTCCAATGCCAGTGTCTCAGCTACACGGCAGCAGCGTGAAGCCTGCGTCACTCTGTAACTCTGAATTTCTTTACGTCACGGCAGGAAGTACTGGTGATCACGTGTTGGTTCTGTACCTTGTTAACTAAGTAAGTCTGCGGGAAGGCCTGCTGAGGAAAGGGACTCTGGAGAACTTGTCTCCAAAAGAGGAGGAGGGCGGGAAGGCAGAGCGGCAGCACCCAGAGGGCACCAAGTCCACCGAGCTCTTACCTGGCCACGGGTCAAGCAAAGAGACTGCAGTTGGCAGCAAAACACTGAATGGGCTCAGTCTGTACAAAATGGCGGCCACAGGGGAGCGGTGGCAGCAATTATCCCGAGTCTCACCAATTACCGCGAGACGTGACCTGCCACCAATCTGCAAAACGGTACCGAACTGGCTCTACAGACCCTAACTGAAGCAGTTCCGTGTTAATGAAAGTGGAGAGTCGTCTTATCAACTGACCGCAGTGCAACCACAATGGACAACGTGGAATATCGCGCTGCAAGCTCTCTTTAAAGCAAATTCCTTTGTGATACATCATATAAATCACCCTCCCCAAAAAGCCACCCTGACTTACAACCCTACCGATAGAATGTGGAAAACCCACTCTACTCACACCCCCCACCCAAGCTTTTTAATCTTCCCCATCATGTTAGGTGCAAATGTATATCATGGTTTGATTTTTGTTTTTTATTATCTGATCCCAATTAACACTATCAATATTTCATTGGCCTTCTGTATTTATTTCTGTAAATTTATTACTTATATTCTTGGTCCATTTTTCTGCTTTCCATCTGTCTGTTATTGACTTGAAAGGGCTTTATAGTCTCAAAAATTAGGCTTTTGTCTATGAGTTGCAAATTTTGCCTCTAGTTCTTCATTTGCTTTCAGCTATTTCCTGTAATGTCTTTAGTCTTTCGCTTACTTTTCAACTTTTTCCTTCTGAGAGCATCCCCTCCAGCCTGATGCTGGCTTATGCCTATATACATGCATTCAGAGGGAGAGCGCAAACTTGGCAGCAGACATTTCCAGGGAGACCAAAAAGTGCCCTAGAGGTCTCAGAAGGGCTGGTGTGGGTGAACAGTGTGAACATTAAAGACATTTTGGTGACAGATGCTGGAACATGGATTTTACTGCCGGCTCTCTTGAATCTCCACTTTGCAGACTGCACTTCACTGGATTTCTGATTTCCATATCATGTAAGACAATTCCCATAATAAATGAATCCATACACAGTGGCAGCTCAGTTCATGAATGCCTCTGCTCACAAACAATTCAGTTCGCCAACAGAAGGTCTCAGCAAAACTGCTTCCTTTCAAGAACTCTGCATCTGGTGATGAATACCACGGCATCCTCCCCAGAAGTGGGAAATGAATAAAGTTTGTGAACTGAGGCACCACTGTGTGTAGCTCCTATACGTCCCATCCGTTCTGTTTCTCTGAAGAGCATGACTTAGGCAAGGACTGCCTCCCCTAACTAAATTACAAGTACCTCAGGCCAGGACCCTCAACTTTTCACTCCCCACCCCTGAAGCACCCAGCACACACTGGAATGTCACTAAAAGTTTCATGAGTGCAGTAACTAACAGACGCACGCCTGAACATCTGCCTGTCAGTGGTCAACCCTCTCAGCTGAAGTCTGGAGGTGAGTTCTCAGACCACACGCAGCGTTCACTGGTATCCATGGCCAGGTGCAGCAGCAAGAATGAGGATATAAAGGTGGACCACGTCTTTTGCTCCGAACCTCGGTTAGATTCTGGGGAACACATTTCTGCCTCAGTAAGCACCTCAAAGAGGACAAAAAAATGCCCTCGCTGAGCTTCCAAGGGTAATTTCAAAGCCCTGCCCGAGATTCAGTAGCATTTGTGAGGAAGTGATGATGGCAGGAAAACATGGACCACAGAGAGTCGTTTCAGGTACTCCACAGCCACGGCCAAGGACTTTGAAATTTTCTAGCCGCTCAGTACATCTTGGGTCATGGGATCCAGAGTGGAATCAAAGTACCGGGCAGGGGAGGGAGCACTGCATCTGAGCTTGTGGATCATAGGCGAATGGTGCAAGATGACACCAAGTATTCTGAAAGTGACACTTACAGGTGCTATTCAGATTTAGGGTTGCAAGTCCACTGACAGGGTTTCTGGGCCTCTGGTCACTACAAACTGACCCTTGACCTCTGAGGGAGGAAACTTGTCTGTCTGTCGCTGGGTTTGTTTCTACATCCAGGGAAGGGAAAGTATGACGGTTGCTAGGAGTTTAGAAAAATGTCTCACTGTTCTTTTTGAGGTTTTTGTTATATGGCTGTAGTTTTCCATTGTACACCAGCCCCTTTAAATCTATAGCGATCCCCTTGCAGCCAGGGATATGCGTGTATTTCAAGACCCCAGTGGCACCAAATAACATTATTACCATGGTGCTCTGGGCTGGTGCTGATGAGAGTGAGGGGCCTTCGAATAACAGCCCTGCAGCATGAAGCAGACAATCTGCCTGCGACAGCTACTGGGTGACCTCTGAGTATGGGACCTGGCGAGGCCCTGGGAAACATGATGGTGATACAGCAGGACAGCTCGTGCCCAGGATGTCACTCTGAGCAAGTCCCCTCACTGAGTGGTTGTTTAGTTGTAGGGTTTCCATCTGGTACTTTCTGACTGCAGGGCGTGAGCCCATGGGGACATCCCTGTGCACCCTGTAAACATGTAACACTCCTGACCAGAGTGTCTCTCGGGAAGTGATTACCACATAACACCGCTACACGCAATGGCAGGAATACTGCAAACACGAAGCTGAGAGGCCAAGGGAGTAGCTCTGGGCAGTGAGAAGAGTCCGAGGCCCTCAAAAGTGATCAGATCTCCACCCCCAGGCTGCTGAATTCAGACAAATCCTGATGCAAATTCTTGGGAGAAAAAGATTTTTGCTCATTCTATTCAGCCTCCCTACTATATACTGTATTATAAGCAACAACAACAACTCAAGTCTGACAGGAAAGTGATTCAATCCAAGTTTGAAATCCTGGGGACAAAGCATGACTAATGGCAGGCAGTGAACCTCTAATTTCCAAATCAGATGCCAGTTTGTCTATTAACAAGCTCCTATAAAGCCTTTTTTAAAAACCTCATACTGTGTAAAAAGACATAAAGCCTTATCCTTGAGATACATATCAAGGACAAATATATACCTAATGGAATATTATTCAGCTATAAAAAGAAGGAAATGTCATTTGCAGAAAATAGATGACTCTAAAGATCATCAGGTTGAGTGAAATAAGCCAGACTCAGAAAGCAAATATACACATTATCCCTGATGTATGGAATGTAACGAAGATGACATGAAAGTAGAAAGGAAAGGACATAGAAGAGTCTAGCAGGATGATATGATCAAAATACATTATGAACACTGAACCCCTCACCTTGTGAGACTAGGGAAGAGGGAGGGGAAAGAGGTGGGCATAGGGGAATGATAAAGTTGTTATGCGCATGTACAAATCTGCCAAAATGAAACCCATTCATCTGCATGAACAATGTACACTAATAAAACAATGTTAGGAATAAAACCAGAGTAATATTGCTTTGAACCCAATAGATTTTCAATTACTCTATCTCCAGCAACTAGAATAGCCCATTGAACATAGTAAGCACATGATAATTTTTTAATGAAATGAATCCAGAACCACAGGATCAGGTGGTACCTCAGCAGACTGTGCATGCACGTGGAGTTACAAGAAATGACCAAACACCACAATGAGTCGTCACTACAGACCCAACATCAGCGTGGTGAACAGTGAGAGGACGGGGAACACCAAGTGGTGGTGAATATATACAAGAGAAGGACCCGTCGTACACTGGGGAAGGAACATGAATTAGCCTAGCTGCTTTGGAAAACTTACCAATATATACTGAAGGTACACATAATCCACATTGTGCCCTAGCAATTCTACCCTTAGATGTAAATGTTCCATAGGAGTCAGTAAATGCATCCACCAAAAGACATGCATCAGAACACACTGTTATTCATCATTAAAACTAATTGGAAAGAACCCAGACAGTCAGTAGGAGGGGGACAAAGGAATGGTGGTACAGGGTGGCTGGGTGTACAACAGCGGCTACACAGCAATCTGGAATAAGAAATAGAGACCCTCAGCAACACGATAAACCTCACAGAGATTATTGTGCACAGAAGAAACTAGACATGAATAAGCTATACTATTCTGTATGCATACACACACACACACACACACACACACACACACACTATACTATTCTATTTTTATGGAATTCAAGAATGGATAAAACTAACCAATAATGACAAGAAGTCAGAATAGAGTTCTTAAGAAAATGAAAGAAGAAAGTCTCCAGGATGGGTGGTAGCTATCAGAGTATATCTTTGTTATCACATCGAGCTACACACTTACAAAATGCACTTTCCTGTGTGCAGGTTAGAATTCAATTTTAAAAGAGAGGGAAAACAATTTAAATAAAAAATTTAAATTATGCTGATGTAGAATATATAATATTTAGCAATGAATAAAGTATTCCCCAAACCCATATGTCTTCATTGTGTTGATGTAATTGGTAAGCTGATAATTTGTTTATTGGCTTTTTCTTTTGGTTGCAATAACTTCTATTAAAATCAGACTCCTTAGATTTATCCTGGTAGTTCATAATGATTACTATTGATTGGATATCTTTACAAATAGTAAGTAAAGGGAAAGAATTAAGAATCTATGTCCCTTTACCGCTGGATAACCAAACTACTAGGGGAAGGGAAGTATCAGTATGAGAAAGTTCATGAGTATTAAATAACAAGTTACTGGATTCATCTATAAAATAGTAAATAAAAGGTCAGGCAATGAGCATTAATAGATGTTACCATCACAAGGACAAAGACTTCTGACTGATGTGCAAGGACACTGCCACTCACAATCTTGACAAAGCTAGAGCCCAACTCAGTCTCTGCATGCAGAAGCAGCCTACATTTACAGGAAACACAGAGACAGAGGCAGGCTGAGGTAAACCCTGACAACAATTAGTAAAATCCAGACTGGGAACTCTATAGATCGAATGAACAGGAGTGTTCGGTACCTAAATTAAAAGGAGGGAAAGGGAGGGGGAGCACGTGGATCAACACAGCTTTGGAAGAGTGATGAGAAAACATTACTCACTGAGTCATGCCTTGAACGTGCGTGTGCTGTGCTCCTATCATGTGCACTGAGTCAAGTATGGGAGAGACACAAAGATAAATCCAGAAGTGTCCTTTTTCTGTGTGGGACAAAAATGTCACCATGTTTATTACTCTGCTCTGTGACTCGGCGTTTTTGGTCAGTGTTGTGTTATGAGCCTCTCCGCACTGATACAACAGCACATTCCATGGCTGCACAGTTCTATGATCCATGATCTACACGTACACGCATAGCATCTAGACAGGTACCCAGTCTTCCCTCTGCGATGGCTACTTTAGTCCATACTTAGAACAAATAGTGCTGCAGTGGGCATTGTTGCACCTAACAACTATTCTCTTTCTTATCATGTTTGCAGAATAAAGCCCTAAATGTGCACCAGCTATATCAGAAGCAGAAGTTAGAGCCAGCTGTTTCCTACGAAATTTCCTGAGGGAGGAAGTGTGGTAGAAATCAGGCTGAGGCCAAGTGCAGACTTCAGCAGAGCAGATGGGATGGGGTGGTGGCTATAGTCCTGGGTCTTCTATTAATCCCTGAGGAATGCCTGGCACTAATTTTACTTCGATATGTCTTATCTGGACATTGATCAAGAGTGAGTAAATTGTCTCTAGTACCCTTTAAAAACTAAAATTCTAGTGGCACACACCTGTAATTCCAGCACTTTGGGAGGCTGAGGCAGGAGGGTTGCAAGCATGAGCCCCATCTGGGCAACTTAGCAAGATTTTGTCTCAAAATAGAAAGGGCTAAGGCCCTGAGTTCATTTCTCAGTCCTACCATTAAAAAAACTAAAACTCGGGTATTGTAGGGGCCAACATTTTCTTCAGGACTTCGAATCTCTGTTCCCGCTAGAACTTCCTTTTCCCACGCGGGAACGTCCATCCTGGGGACTCAGCGCAGTCCTTCGGTGGCTGCAGCGCCACGGAGACAGATGAATAATTTGACGCCCTAAGTGGGGTTCTCCTCTCCTACCCCTCCCTCACCCTTTGAGCTGTGAAGTGGAGGCTACTCCTGCCCACATCAGCATCAGCACACAGTCCCACCTCCATGACACTCTCCCCGTGCTCATACCCTGTGGGTTTCACTCGGTCCGCTTGTGTGCTGGGTCTCTACTGGGCCCTTGGTTCCATAAATGCTAGCACTAATTATGTCTCTGCTTTTTACTTTCCAAGTCCCCGGCCCGAATACTACCGCTTGTTAGATCAGTGTCCCTAACAATCAGCACGGACTGAGAACCGAGGGGAGACTCCCACAACGTCAAAGCTTCAGGTCTGAATATTTCGCACACATGAAATTGTTCCTTCACGATCTTAAGGCCCAGGCCCCATCATGATTCCTGGGTCTGCCTTTCTGTTCCTTCTGTCACGTCTTCCATCGTATTTCCTGTCACTGTTGGAAGGGATTTCTTTGTTCCTTTATCCCTCCACCCTCTCATCCTACAACCACCAGTAATGAGGCGCAAAGGGGAAATGCCTCTTCTCTATACCCACACACTTCCGCACCAAACACGCAGGGTCCCCCGCCAGCCAATGCTCCCTGGACACCAACTGGGGTCCTAAAGGTAAACTCATTCCTGACTCTGACTGCCTGGACCGTTGCAGACCCCACGTTACACTCCTGTCCTACAGGACAGTGCTCCTCAGCTCAGATGCCAGGCACAAGCAGGGGTCCCCAGACTACCCACACTCCTATCCAACGTCCAACAGACCCAGCTTTCACATGAGCAGCCTCCTCAGGGTCTGTCGTCTGTGATCATGGTTCACAGAACTTGAGGAAGGACCCTACTGGCTGTTACTGGTCTACTCGAAAGGCTCAAGCTCAGAGACCGCCAAATGGGAGCCATGCATAGAGTGGGGTGTGTGACAGGGCTCCCCAGGTGCCCTCCCACTGGCTAGCTGGATATAAATGAGCCCGGATGCTCTGAACTCGCTGTCTGGGGCTTTACAGAGGCTCCATTCTGTACACATGACTGATTAAACCTGTGTTCGCCCATGACTAAGTCAGTCTCGCCCTTGTCCTCCCCAGGTCTGAACGCCCCACCCTCTCCTCACGCCTCAGGCTCTCTGAGGACCCCACCTCAGCCCCGACCAGGAGCCCGAGCCACCCATCCTCTCCTGAGCAATCAAAAGGAAGTCTCGGTCTGAAACTCCTGGGTTCACCATCCTGGGACTCGGGCCACATATTGTACCGAAAAGTTTTCCTGTTGCCTCAGCACCGAGGAAACTGTAAGGGTTTTGGAAGCTTTATGTCAGGAACTGGGGCAGAGACCAAATACACTTATTACATCACAGACATAATAAAAGAAACTGGCTTATTCAGAAAGTATGTCTCAAAGTGTTTCAAAAAGATTGACCTGTTGTGAGATGATTTTCCAAAATGCACTGGTTTAAACTGTGATCACATTTCCTTATGATCACAGCTATTAAATCTTTTAAAGAAAAGATCCTGGGGGAGCTCGTTGTTCCATTATGTAACTGAGTATTCTAATCTCTCATTTCTTTTCTGCTAATGCTGAAAATGCTTAATAAATATCGTAACACTGATAATAACTATGATCACACAGAAATTGTAATAGCTTCTATGCTCTCCACTTTACTAATTATTTTACTTAATCCTAAAATAATCACACAAAGTAAGCACTTTTACTCCCTACTTTTTAGAAATCTGCTCTCAGACATTAAGTGAAATATTTAAAGGTCTCATAGGCTGTAAGATTTGAAGCCAAATTCAGACCTAGATTTTCAGATTTAAATTTCCATCCTCTCAGTCAGCACTTAACCTGGACCCTTCTTAGAGTTGTGCCTGCCATCTGCCACCGCCAATAGGTGACACACAGCTCATGCTTAACATTTTGTGTCCCCAACCTTATGGTATAATCATGTTTGATTCATGTCATCCTAAATTTATGCTCCTCTCACCTGAAGGAGAATCTCCTCAACTAACCTCATAGTCAGTGCCTTTGTTGGGTGATCTAACAATCAGAAAGCTCTCCGCCTCAGTGGTTCAACACACTAGGAATTCACACCTCGCTGGCCTTAGGTGCCATCCAGGTGCCTGATGAAAGCCCTCTCCACTGTGATGCTGAGGCCGGGACCCTTCCTTCCACGCTGTGGCTCTGCCTTCTTCAGCCCAAGGCTCTCAAGGGCTGCCGGAGCATCTCAGGTCCACAGGAAGGCACTCTTGCTCCCGAGCACTTCGGAGCAGAAGTATCACTCACAACTCGCACCCACGCTGCATGGATGGGGATCGGTCCTTGGGCGCAGAGAGAAATGGAGCCAGAAATGCAGTCCCAGCACAACTTCAAGCCACGGAAGGTGGCACGCGCCTTTGGTGTCACTTTGCCATTTCTGGGACGTCGCGACTCTGAGGCCGTGATGATGCAGAGGGAAGAGTTGGAGCTCAGCGCTGGTCTCGCACTCACCGGTGAAGCAACCTCAGGGCCTTGCTCAAGGATGCCGAGCACTCTGACGTGGAAAAGGCACGCTTCCCTGCTGTCACAGGGACGGATGTGACACGTGTGCAGCTACTCCAGAAAGCACACGGCTGTGATCGTCTTCGTCAGACGTTAGCACGGCCTGAGGGACACGGAGAGCCAGGCCACTCTTCCCCACGTGACAAACTACTTGACCATTGCATACAAGATTTCGCGGGGTTCATCGTGAAGCTCCAGCCGGTGCTTACTTCCGTGCACTGTAACACTCCCTGCGGTGGAACCGGAACTTGTCTCAAGGCCAGTTTTTGGTTAACAAGTGATTCATTTGCAATTAGTATTACAGAACAACAAAACGATTTTCCATTCTAAAAGAGTTCTTTTTTCAAATGTTTAATAATATTGAGAAAATTGCAGCAGACAACATCAGAGTATAATTATTTGGGGGACACACGGAAATGACGGGGGCTGTAGTTCTGCTTCTGAGCTGTTACCAGCCGGTCCCTGCTTCACTGTGCCTGCCCGTTCCCAGGTCAAGCTCTCGGTCCGCTCCTGCCAGCCCGCTGTACTCTGAAACTCATGCCTTTCCTGTGGTTTTCAGCAGTGACCCTTTCAGCCAACACTGAAGCGGCTAAACCTCCTGCAGCAGGGAATTTTGGTGTCTGGGTCTCCAGAGCTACTTTCCTTCGAGGACCACTACTCGTGTGCAGAAGTGGGTGCTGTTGCTTAAGTGGGGTTTGTTGTTGTTGCTTTGATTTGGGTTTTCTGAGATCGAGTCTTACTGTTTGCCCAGGCTGGTCTCAGATTCCTGGGATCAGGCAATCCTCACATCTGATCAGCCCAAAAGCTGGGACCACAAGCACACACCAACAAGCACAGCTGTCAGAAATGCCTCTAACTTAGAGCTTATTATGCTTCGGGGTGCTCCCGAAGCTAACATCTGAATAAGGGAACTGTTACAAATTTTCTACAGAAGACCTAAGTGAAAAAAATCAAAATAACATTACTGGCAGGAAAATGAATAAAATGAGTCTATTGACAACATGCAGTAAAAACTGGTTGGTTGAATTTTTCTTCAGAGGAAGTTATTTGGGCTTAGTGAAGACACAGGTGAAAATAAATAGCTGGTTTCAGAGAAATTATTGAACGAAGACACCACCATCTGACTTTAACTACTTCTTCTTTCACCGGTGACTCACATTGACTGAGCATCCACCCTCTGGGAAGCCTAAGGCCGGACAGAAAGCTCTTACTCGGTGAGATCCGCGCTTGCTGGAAAAGGCTTCTGGGCACCAACTATCACAAACATCCAGAAGCAACTCGCTTGAGCCACACTGCTCGGAGAAGATGGAAAAGCCGGGCGCAGGTCTCCAAGCTCACAATTTACCATCTAAGGACATTCAGCGAAGAGCAACAAAAGTTAAGAATCCAGGCCCAAAACAGTGAGGCCCAAGCTCTTGAAATTTTCCTCCAAAGTTGGAAGAAGACTGCCCTCTCAGCATGCCTGGAACTTAAAAGAAACCTAAGGCAGGGCATGGAGACTGTCACATGGCAGAGACTAATTGTTCCGATTACAGTCTAACAAGCTGGCTTCCCTGCTGCTCCGAGAACGTCTCTGACTTTTGATCCTGACATCTGTGTCTTACAAGAATTTCACTCTGCTCTGACATTCCTTCTGATGTTGATCCAGGAATTAATGGATTGTGAAAAAGCTGGCAGGATATCATTTAAAAAATAGAATTCCTAGTGTACAAGAGATGAAAAGGTATCAGAATTCACATACTTGGTGTCTTTGATACCAACAGGATTCTCAGGTTTGGCCGTTTGGGTTTTTCTAATGCTGATCCAAAATAGGACAGAAAATAGAATTCAGCTAAAAAGTTCTCATGACAAAATAAAAGTTATTTCAATGTTCTTTCATAATGTAAAAAGGTTATGTTTCTGAGAAACACTAAAATTCTGTAGGAGATCATTTGGTCAGATAAGTATTTTTAATATATATTCAGTTGATCACCCTTTATAAGAAATCTAGTATTTTTATGCGATGGAAAATTTTGCTTAAGAAATCGAAGAGGTTAATGACTTGACACTTTCCTGGGAACATGTACACCATCTCTCTGGCCATTTATAATACGTCTGGTGACAGGGCCATAGGAAATGGTTGACCTAGAGGGGCATTTTCTTTAATTAAGGAATCTGCAATTTTTAATTCAAAAAAGTTTAAATTAAAACTGTCTAAAGATAGGTTTTAAATTAAGAAATTCTCTTCAGGATTGAAATTTTACACATCAGAAGATACCGCCTTGCATTTCATGGCTGTGGATAATTACTAGATGCCAGTGGATAACTTAAACATAGCTTAGATTCATTGACATTAATGTGTGACAAGCATTACAGAACATATTTAGTAATTTTAAAAGAAAAAGTAAGAGGATTTTTGAAAATACAGGAAAAACTGCCATGGTGGCAACAATAAAAATTTTTGAGTTAGGAAAAAAAAATTTCCTTTATTTCATTATGATCCAGATACTCAACAAGTTACATTTGCTAGATAAAGTTGACCCTAACAAGCCAACTTGTTAGATCTACAATTAATGTAAAAATTAATAGGGTTACCTATGTGTTCTGTATTCAAGCAACTATCTAATTTTCACATTAAAAGGAACATCTTTGTCTTTTAAAAGTCACAAGTGTCTATGGCTTTGTTTAGATAGATTGCTTTGGTAATTTTTGTAGTTCCTCTGTTACACCAAAAAATAAGGCAGGCTGGGCATGGTGGTGCCCGCCTGTAATCCCAGCACTTGGGAAGCTGAGGCAGGAGGATCACTACAGGTTTGAGGCAGCTTGGATTACACAGTCAGTTCCAGGACAGTCTGAACTACATAGTGAGACCCTGTCTCAAAAAACAAACAAAAAAATAAGGCAGCAAGTTATTAAAATAAATAAAAGTGACAGCATGCTCTCATTTGCTGCTGATAACCAGGCTGTATTGGTTCATTGTTGTTACAATCTTATAATAATATTTAATTATTTAAAATTTTGTATATTACCTTTTTATGGCTTTCCAATTTCCCCAGCACTGTAGAAATACACACTCACCAACAAGATGAGCATCACTGGTGCGTAAGAAAGAAAGCTGTTCTCACCCCAAACCACCCTGCAGTGGGTCTTCCTGCCCTCCCCTCTCAGAGCTTTGACTCTCCACAAATACTGCGTGGCTGTCATCTGCCCAGTCCAACTGCTCTTCTTCAGGGCAGGACCAGACCCTCATGTTTATTATTACAGCCCTAGTTTAAAGGTGCAGGCTCAGCACCCAGTAAATAAGCGGATGAGTGTGACTTACAGGGTTATTCCTTATTTCAATGATTTCTTTGCACCTGTCTCTTAATATATGCTGCCTTACTTACCTCTTCGGTGAGAGAAGGTTGTAAAGTATCTGATCTATTTAATATCATTAAATTAAAATTAATGTCATCACAATTAAATGACGTATCACCATTATTACTAAATATAAGCCAGCTACATACTTTGTCTACGTGGCCATTCTATAAAAGTTGAGTCTCTGTCATATTCATTCTCCAACACAACTGAAATATTTTTTAAGGGTCTCGAGGCTGGGATGTGGCTCACAGGTAAGCACAAGGCCCCGGGTTCACTCTCTGGCACTTAAAAAAAAAAGGATTGAGTTACACACAGAGATACCAAGCCTAGAAACGTGATACGTGGGTCAGGAAGAAGGTGTCCTAACATCCATAAATTAGCACCTGCATCGGGAGAGCTTCTCAAAGTCGCTTGACGCGTGTCACTTTCACCAGTACCCTTTGTTCCCACCTCTCGCTCCTAAAATAGACCCTAAG